AGAGCAGAAACACCATTCTCCTTTCCAATAGGGCTAGTTGCACAAGGGAACAAGCAAACTCACAGACAAACTTCACATGAAACTTTTTCAAGACCTGGTGATGTGGCCACTGTTGTGTAGGAAGGCCCAGACGCCTTCTCTTTCTCCCCAGGGTCTTTCTGCTAGAAGATACAGGATGATGTGCACCTCCCAGAGAGCTCGACAGTGTCTCACTGCTGGGTCAGCTACTGTGCTGCACGCTGCTGGGGATGATGCAGACCCTCCTGATTGCAGGTAATCAACACAACTTGCGTCACCATCCCATCTCTCCCTTCTCACACAATCTTACCACTCCACCAGCAAAGGTTCTCTGTCTACGGAGCCTGTCCTAAACAATGCTGTGAAGGCACCAGCACCACAAATTCTGAGTTGCTCTGTTACTGGCAGATTCAACCACCAGAAGGTAGAGGCGGAGAAAAGAGCAACCATAACCAATGCCCAGGAAGTTGCAGGAGAGGCAGTAGAGGAAAGGGCTGGCTGGAACAGAGAGAAGCCCTGCCCCAGCACTCAGAAGTCCCAGTGCTCACCACCTACCTGGCTGAGGTGCACTCACTCCAGCACTAGGGGACTCAAAGTGTAATTTAGAGGGAAGGAACCCACAGTGGAGAGCTGTGGGGTGATCTGGACTCAGACAAGGTCAATGTCAATTCTCTCCCATCGGGAAGAGTATTGGGTTTAAAGCCTCATTGGATATCACAAAAAGGGTGTTGTTTATATCCACCCAGGCTTTTCTATGCCAACTCAGCAGGACAACCACATCCTGTAACTAGACAGTGGAACACCCATTATGTATTTTGGCAGGGTTATTTCCTTATCTGTTTGAGTGTGTAACTTCTTTTTTTAGCATCTTTATTTTGGTGACAAAGAAAATGTTAATATGCTACTACCCCTTTATTTGTCTTTTTTCTAGATGAAACAATTGTTTTAATCCCGCATACAGATTTTTCAAGTTCCTAAATCTATCACTCACAACCACAACATTCTCTGAGAGGCGGGCCCAGTGTAAACAGAGCTCCAGATGAGGCCACAGAGATTTATGCACAGATATTTTCTTTGTCCCCTTCATCCAAGCACTGAAGATGAAACTGTGCTGGTCTCCCCTGGTGTTCTGTAACTGCTGTGTTATCTGTACACATAACAGCCCACCTTTCATCTGTACTTCCACTGTCTTATACACCTTTTAAACTGAAAATACCTTGCAGCTTTTGAGTGGTGCTCTTTGATCTGCAGACAGAAAAGCCTGATAAAACAGTAAGACTGTGCATTGGCTCAGAAATAAACTAAGCCAACAGACTTCAGAGTGCAGGCTTCATTAATCGACCTGCAGAGAGGTTTCAGTTTCCCCTTTGAAGTGAAGTGGCATCCACAGTGGAGGCCCTGAATTTGCTGAGATTATACAGCTGATTGTTCTTTTAATGAACCAGTAGAAAAAGGTATCACAGTTTTAGGGAATATGTCTACTTTCAAATGGATACCAGGGCTCAATCAGAATTTGATGGACTTTTTTTACAGCTTCTCTGACTCCAGGAGGTACCTCTGTACTTCTTTCAGTCCAGGATGAAATTCCCTCTGGGACCAGAAAGTTATTTTCCTTGAGAAAACAGGGGCAGGGTAAGCTTATACTCCCAGCCTAAATCCCTGTGCTTTTAGGTCACAGGCTGCACACTCAGACACAGAGAACTGGCTGATACGACGTGTGCCAGGAGATGGCAATGGGGGAGATGTCCATCAAAGATGCCATGTAATGTCCTAGTCTTACCTCACAGAGAACAATCCCAAATGAGAAGATGTCCACTGTCTCATCATAGCTCTGTCCTGCAGGAAACATAAGACATTCAGATCTGTGAGAGACAGTTTCCCATCCAGTTATTCCAGGAGCTGCCAGTCCAAAGCTTAACTAAGCCTATGCCCTGGAGGGCTCTACAAAGAGAGACAAAGCAAGGCTTAAATCTGAGCAGGGCCAGTTGCCCCAAGATACGTACACCAACTGCATCTTCCTATACACTGCCATCACATATCTTAACCCTGCTTCTTTCTTCTGCTGGGGAACTAAAGGACAACACAGGGAACCCTTGTGTATCAGAGGTCTGAGCAAATGCTAAGGGTAACTATGGAAAGCTTCTGCCCGTTCCCCTTGATTGCTGTTCTAGCGCATCTCTGCAGTCCACTGAGTCAGTGTTCGGCTTCCCCAGCAGCCACTGAGTGCCCCGTCCCTGCTGCAGTGACTGCAGAGATAATAAATTACACACTAGCAGCACTTTGAATCTGGGAAAGCAGACTGGCTCCAGCATGCCATTATCAGCTTACAGACACGCCCCTCCCAAGCCAGTATCTGGTAAACAGCCTTGCTTTCAGAGGTGATGTCAGACTCCGCTCTTGCTGTTCTCTTGACAAATACCAGGTATGAGGCAGGCTCTGAGAAGCAGCCTCAGAGTCCAGTAGGGCCTGTAAGCCTTGAGAGAAGGAAAACAGAACAGCACACAAGAAAGCAACATGGAGAAGAGTTGAGTTGAGGGAGAGGAGCCAAGTGCTCCCTTCCCTGGTGGACTATGTTGGACAATACTGATATCGTAGCCAGCCAAACTGCCCAACCTGGTCAGACCGACCTGCTCATCAGGAGGAAACTGTATCCGTTGTATTTCACCCTTACCTCAACTCCTGCAGGGGCAGTTTTTCCCCTAAGGGACATAGTTCACCCTTAATGCAATTGAGGGCTGCATGCCAAAAACCTGATTTCCCTGCACTTGGACAACTCCCACTCCAATCCTGAGGCTTCAGCAAACCTGGCAGCAGATGGCTTCTCTGTGGATCTACACAACAGGACATGTAAGCCTTATCCTGGAGCCTAATGATTCCCTGTCTCAAGGGGCAGTTCCAAAGCGTGAAGCTATAACAGACATTGATCTCAGGTTCAGGCTTATTTCAGGCCTCTGTTGTCTTCTCTGTTATCTGGATCATAGCAAGTTTAGGTCTGTTGCCCTCCTGAAGAATCCTGCTGTCAAGCCAGAAACATTACCTTGGCTGGTACAAAGGCTTCTCAGGTCAGGTACTGCAAGAGAAGTGCAGCTAAGGTACCTGTGTGTATAAATAAGCTTGCATATTAGCAGGTCTAAAACCAAAGGCTGTAATAGGTTTGATTGTTATTAGGGCTCAGAAGCTTTCGGTAATCCTGTCATCCCTACACCTTGTCACAGGCTGTCTCCTCACCTGCACCCTGGTATCAGTATCTTACCATTCAGCATTTCTGGGGCCATCCAGTACGGGTTGCCAACCACCGTGTAGCGCTTCTTCCTGTCACTCTTGCGTAGGGTTCGTTTCTTGGCAGATGGCTTCTCCAAAGTGGGCTTTTTTCTTTCCTCCACAATCAGCCGAGACAGACCGAAGTCAGCCACCACCACCGTCTTATCCTACACAAGGGATTTAGTACAAGCCACTGATTCCTCTCAGCTCCCTTCAGGAGCAAAGAAGCTGCAATTCCCGTTCACTATCAACTACACTGTAAGGGCAACCATCGAGGTTTCCTGCAGCCAGATGAGTGTAGCAAGCTGTCTAGACAGGTGTAAAACACCCAATTCACAATACCAAATCATCATTTCTTCTCTTTATTGTCTTGTTTCCTGCGTGGTCACTAACACTAATCCCATCAGTTTGACTGCACTTGCCAGGGCAAATGCAGACCTTTCCTTTCAGACCCTCCTATTCTACCTGGCCAGAAATTAACTTAGACTTTCAGCCTGGGTCGTTTGCAGCCTACGTGCGAATCTCATGTTCCAGCCAAGTGAACAAGGGCAAGGGTTGAGGCAATGAAGCTACACAAAAATCTTGTGACCTAACGTTTCAAAAAGAGAGAGCACACACATCTGCACACACCCGCACACTTGTCTGAATCCCGAATGCCACTAAAAAAAGTCATCAAGTGGTTAAAAGAACGGAAGCAGCAGAACATTTGTTCTCTACAAATGTAGAGAACATTTCATAGTTAAGATAAGGAACAGAGCTGTACTAACTCTCATAACGTGAATGATAACAGGAGATGGTGCCACAGGAAAGGGGGTAAGATAGCAGAAAGAAGAAATGGTGAAAGCTAGATCACTCTGGAAAATCCTGTGTGAAGATGAAGCTCCCTTGTTTAGGGCACTAAGAGCCTCTCTGAAACCAGTTCCACCCTGAGAAAAGAGGGAACATCATGTGCAGAAAACCAAGGGAGGGAGATAACGAAGAGGAGCAGCATGCTGTGGGGAACAGAGGTGTAGCTCACCAACTTGATGAGGCAGTTGTGTGAATTCAGGTCTCTGTGAATGATGCACATGGAGTGCAAGTAAGCCTGGAAACAGAGGGAGAAAACTTGGTGTTAGGGCTTCCCAGGCGGATATGTCCCTTCACATTTACAGACCTCGACAACCTCCCTGCTAGTAGCCAGGGAGCATCCACAACCCCTCATGCACCACCCTACTGAAGCAGCTAATCCTGACTCTGGAGGTTTGCTCTGTGATGAAGGGACAGTCCAACTCACCATTCCAGAGGCAATTCCTTTGGCAAAGCTGACCTTCTGCTGCCAGGGAAACGGGTCCTGAAAGACAAGTCCTCAATGGTCAGGGACTGTCTTACCAGCCAGCTGGTGACAGCAATTCCTTCGCAACAGGGACTCTTGCAGAAGTCAGAGAAAGATGATACAGCCCCAGGAAGAAGGCGCTTCCTGCCCTAGGGCACCCACAGCTAAGCAGCAGCTTTTCCACACAGCTCCGAAGACAACTGACAACGAGCACCATAAGACTGGTACAACCAACACCACACTGTCAGCCTCATTGAGCAGAGGTCTACCAGGCTTCCATACTCACCGCATTGCGGAGGAAGTCCTTCAGGGTGCCCCCCTCAATGTACTCAGTGAGGAGATTCAGCTTCTTGTCCTTGTACAGTACACCGATGAACTTCAGCACATTGGGGTGATCCAGGCTGCGCATCACTTTCACCTGGGAAACAGAGACATCCCATGCCAAAGAAGACAATGGAACAAGTCCTGACAGATCCGCTGTATGGTGACAAGCACTCCAATGCTGGAGGTCCCCTCCAGGGATGACGGAGTACACTCAAACCTCAACCTTAAGGCAGTCAATACTGTTGCCTCTTCATTTTCATGCTGTGCAATTAACCTGATCTTAGTCTTTAAGGAGAGCACCCTTGAGTTTGGCTAACTTTTAAGAGACAGGAGCTCTCCAGGGCAGCTATCTGGTCTGTACCGCATGTGTCAAGGCTGAAATAGCTGTGTCAGGTGTTTGGGGAGCTGCCTTTAAGCTAAATCTGACTTTGAAAAACATGGTAGGCAGCCACCAAGAAAATAGTTTAGCTTAAATACAGCAGGAGTCTTAAATATCTTATAGATGTTGGCCCTCACGATTTGTATTTCTGCACAAGGCTCAAGGGATAAATCCTTTATGTATTGTACAGCTCAATTTGCCTCAGACTCAGGCTGCTTTTTATCATTGAGAAATCAATAAACTGGGAGCTGAAGCCACGTCTGTTGCTCAGTGTAAGTGAGCTGCACACTTCACTGCAGCAAACATTCAGCTCATGTCAGCTTTTCACTGTGTGATGTCTCCCTCCTCAGCGCCTTGATTCCTGCCAGTTGCTGGCATGATCACTCTCTCTCTGGACGAGATGGAAGAGTTCCACCACACTACTGGTTCAGAAGCTTTTTGGAATCTTGCTCCTACCTCTGTCAAGAAAGTCTTCTGTGTTTCCTCATCACAGCGAATCAGCTCCTTCATCACCATCACCTTTCCTGTTGCTTTGTGAGTCACCTAGTGGAAACAGAAACCACAACTACAGGCAAGGTTCAAGAATACATCGCTCCAATGCTCTTGCAACTCTTCTGAAAGAGAGGGTAACACTCCCCTCCACCTAGAGAGGAATATAGATGGGAGAAAATTCAGAGCCCAGGGATCTGCATAAAACTGCATGAAATTTCTCCTTTCAGAATTCAGCAAATATTCTGTACGCAAAACAGAAACTACCTAAAGCTGACAGCGGATCATACCAAGAGATCAACAGCATCCCAAGAAACAGAGCTGAAGTCTCCGTTTTAGGTAGCGTAGAGCCAAGCACGCATACAGGCTGCTGTCAAAGCCTCTGAAGGCATCACTTCCATCCTTGTGCATGCCTCAAGTTCCCTCACAGAAAGTACCTGCCTAGCATGATGCCCATGTTTTGTACACAGACCCCAACAGCTACATTCTGTATCAGCAAAGGAATCAGCATTCACTTGCATTGGAAACCAAACCAAACAACCCAAAACTACATTACTACATGCTTTGGTTTTATGGGGACTCTGAAGCCTGATGGTTTCTGATAAGCTCATCAAACTTACTTATGCGCAAGCAGAACTGGGATGTACAGGCTGTTCAGTTATGGCAGGAAGCAGTTATTTTACCATGCTCCTTGGGAGTGTGTTGCTACCTGCAAGGAATGTCCCAGAGCGGTGGCAAACACATAGAAATCCACCGTAAACATCAGGTAATACATTTCCTGGCTCTCAACATGGAAAGTATTTCCAGTTCCTCAAGGGCTGTTTGCCTGTATCCAGCTAGTTCCCGGCATTTTGCTGTGTTCTAGAGGTTTCCTTTAACCAGCTCTGCCTTGTTTGCATAGGGTGCATGAGTGGGTAGAAATGGTCCAAATTCTGATGAGCAGGTTTTCCTGGAAATCCTCTCCCGTTCAGTTGCTTAACTTGGACAGCTCAGTCTCCCTAAGATCTCCAGGTAACTAAACAACCACCTTATCTCTAGGAACATAAGGAACTATTCTGACCAGATACAGTACTTGTTGCATCGAACCCAGTCAACCTGAAGCTCAAGAAAGGTGTGACTTTTTGCCTCATACCTCTTAAAATAAAAAGCCTTTCAGAAAACCTCTAGAACCACATTCCAGAACACAAGACTCAGTTATAGTACTTAGGAAGCTTATGAGCTCTTGCAAAAAACTGCGGCACGCTAGTTCTTTTTGGAACCATGGGACATAGCAAGGCTGATATAGGTGGAACACGAATGCATGGAATAACACAACAGAAGCAAGAGTACAATATTCTTCTGCTCCCGTCTGAAATCAAGCATCCATATACAAGTAGCGAGCCAGGGAATACTACACATTTCAGCCAGGGACATGAAAGCCAGGGACATCTAATACCCACAGATAAAGGGAAGTGAAGAGACAAAGACAAGACAAGGCTAAGTGGAATTCTTAAGCTGACATACCAGCAAAACTGAAACAAGTGTCATCATGAAACTTCAAGAGGGCAATTTTAACTCCCAGAGCATGCACCAGAACAGGATGGCTATTGGGTAGTCTGAGCAGAAAAGAAATGCCTTTGTGCCATTAACTGTGGGGACGCAGATGACAAAAGCATGCGACAGAGGAAAGGTTCCGCTTACCTGGACCTGTTATTTCTCTATGAGCAGAGGAGAAGAGAAATATGCTCATTAGTATAATCAAAAGCATTGGGTCTGTAGTGCTGGCTCACCACCTCCCATGGAAGCATGAGATAAGTATGGTGGCTGAACACCTGAAGTTTATACAGGTGTAAGGAGAGAAGTCCCTTAACATGGTGAATAGTAACCTGAGCACTGAGGAGCTCACTGCACCTTGGTAAGGCAGAGGAAGCTGCCCCCTGATGCTGTCAGGGATGCCAAGATGCTGAAGCACCCCCAGTCAAGACCAGAAAGCTTAAATACAAGAGAACTGCTATTAATGGAGATTTTAATTGTGAAAGTCATGCAAGACCTGACCACTACCACCATACTGACAAGCCATTTAGGCTCTGCTGGGGGTTCAGAGATGGTCACTACAGCCTGACACTCCCAAGCATGCCACACCAAGGGTGCGTGAGAAATGCTGTACTGGGGAGCAGAATGCACCTCTTCATAAGAAAGATGCTCATAAGAGAATGTGTAGCTCATTCCCCATTCTCCCCACCTCACCCAGGTGGTGGCTGTTACACAGGCACTCTGGAACTCTAGCTCGAGATGAGTAGTATGGCCAAGGTTGACATTCAAAGGGGACAAAGTCAAAACTGCCTGCAGCCAGAGACACTCATGGTCAGGGAATGAAAAACAGAAATGGATCTCACTGAGCAAACCAGATGAGTTCCAAGACCGATCACTGTCAGAAAGGCAAACGCCAGTGAGACAGTGGCGAAGGATCCCGAGGTGGGCAGACATTGCTGTAATCAAAGTAAATGACAAATGTTTGAGGACCTCCCTCACCTTGATGGCTTGTCCAAAAAATCCTTTTCCTAGTACTTCGCCATGAATCAGGTCACAAGGCCGGAAGATTTGCTGGGAGCAGCTAGAAGAGGAACGTAGGGATTCAGAACGACTGATGTCACGGCTCAGAAGAAGCGGTTCCTTTGGAGAACTGGGGCCAGGAGATTTAGAAATGCTGTTACTTCGCCTAGAGAACAAAGGAGACAGGAAGATCAGGAAAGCTGCTAGGAAACTTTTGGTCCAACATATCCCGTCATTATCTCCTTAGGGCCCGGTTTCTACATGTACTTCAGTGCTCTTCGTATCTCAAAAGCCAGATGCTCTCCCAGCACCATGGAAGCTCTTTACAAACCTAGAGCAGCTTCCACGTCAGAGCTGCCTAACAACAAACCATCTCCTGCACTGGCTGTCAAAGGTGGAGCTCTGTGAACAGGAGGAGGAAGCTGTGAAGACGCTGCACTTGCTATCTCTAAACAAAGATTAAAATACTGGTAAATGACTAAATGAGCAACTGAGTGCCCCAGGCTAGGAAGACAAGATTTTTCCCAAATCCCAGGTCTCAGACATATTCCCTTTAAGGAGACATTCTTCCCCAGCCATTTAAGGCTGCTAGAAATCTGACCTTTACATTTTTTAACTGTAAAACTTCATAGTTTTCTGTTAAAAGTAGAGCTCCTTATTTTTATTAAGGCAAGTTTGCCATCCTGAAAGGCAATGGAGAGAGTACACGTCAATAGCAAAATCTAAAGCTCTCCACTGCTTCGGCAACGGTTTCTACCAAGGCTGGTATCAGAGGTGAGTCACGTCTCTGCAGTCATTTGCAATCGTGGGACCTCGGCACAGGGCAGCCCAGCCAGGTAGCACAGGGTAAAGGCAAGCTAGGTCAGAGGCAGCGCTTCCAGGTCTTTACCTGAGGGAGCGTCGTCGGAGCGTTCCTTCCAGATTCTCCTTGATGTCCAGTGGGGAGAGGGAGCGTGGGGAAATGGGCGGCTTTATGTGGGTGGGAAGACGGGAGTCCAAACGAAGCCTGTCTAAGCGCTGTGAGACAGGGTCATGCTCTATCAGCAGCTGAAGTGTCTGGCTTGTCTTGCGAATCAGGTCCTCCACCTGCAATCAAACCAAAGGACAGGATGACAGCAGGCAGGAGGAACACAAGTGACAGGAGATAGAAGAGACACAGCAGAATGCCCCTCAGGAATCAGAGGAGAGAGTTCAGTGAGATCACTTCATAGTTGTGGTTTAGTCGTGCGCACCACAGCTGTCTAACCAGACAAATCAAGCTAGCAACACAGAAGTTCCTTATGCTATCCAAACACTTTTTTTTTCTTTTTTTCTCAGAAACGTTCAAAAACTACACAAGCTTCCATCCGAACAGTACTGCAAGAAACAGCTTTGCAAAAGCTACATGGAGATTTATGTGAGAGATGTCTATTGTGCTCCTAACGTTCTCTCCAGCACCAGCAGTGAATAAAACCCTTACGTGGTGAAGGTAACAGTGGTCTTTTTTTTAGCATCACCTGGTATCTGTATAAAGCATTTACTTGTAAATACACACATCAAATACTTTTATTTTGCCATGGGAAACATCCCTAGGATCAGCTGAGCCTTCGTCTACTAGCGGTTGTCTCTAAAAGGATCAGAACAGTGGACTTCACTAACAACACATGAAGAGTCTTCACAGCCTCTCTGTCCTCTGAGATGTCACGGCACTACAGTTTTCTTATTACCTCCCTTCACGTTTGAATGCCACAAAATCAGAACTGCATTCTAATTGCGTTTGCATCTGTGACATTTTCCTTTTCAGCTGGAAGGGGTAGCAAAGTTTGTCTTCATGTTTCTTCCTACTGTCAGCATGAGTACTATGGGTGTACGCACAGTCTATGTAGGGTGGGAGAACAGTGCCAAGAAACAGAAAAGCTGTAGGAAGGCAGACGAGAAGGAGGTTTCAGAACAGAACTCTACCCACCTCCTCCACCTGTAATGTACGAATAGGAGCTCCATTAATCTCCAGGATACGATCTGCAGGGTGGATGGCGTTTCGGACATCTGGGCTGATGTGCATCCTGTTAACTCTAAACATGGGAATTATAGCGTGTGTGGGAAGTCAGTTTTGCCAAAATTATAAAAAATATTTGATCTCTGACACTTCCCTTCATATTGGTATTTTGAAATAAACCATTGCTAATCTACGAACACAGGGAGCTACCACCAGACCAAGTGCTTAGGTCTGAGCTGGTTTGGGGACAGCTCTTCATTTGCTCAATGGCAAAAATTGTCAGTCCATTAAAATTTGCCAAACGTTTTGTGTTCCGTGAAGGAGACAGCACTGAGAAATAAAGTTATCAGTTAAGGCATCACAAGAGCGAAGTGGAGACCAAACACAAACAGCTATTAGCCGACATGTCCCTGTTGTGCCGAGACAGATCCCCTCAGCAGTTAAAGCAGCTGGCAGGACAGCAGCACTGCAGAATTTTTACCAGCTCCCTCTGCACAGACATGTACCTTGCACACAACCTTGCCATACTCACTCTTTCACCTGGACACCAGTGGCATAGCTGGAGCAGCCACCTTCAACAGACACGGAGAACCCCCTCTTGCCATCCGTAGCTGCCGGCATGGAGATGAGGGTCAACGTATAAGGCAGCTGCTCACGCAGAGACTCAGTGGAGTGTTTTTCTATCATCGGTGTCAGCACAATCTGGTTATGGCATTTTCCACTAAAAGAAGTGAAGAAAGTCTTTATGGCAGGGACCCATCCCTCCCTGCCAAACTCACACTTCTAAGTTCTCTCATTGACCTAAGCAGTAGGTTTTAGAGCTTACTCCCTTCCTTCCTCCCGCCCTCAAAAGGCAGCTTCCTGGCATTCCTTAGTGTAGCATTTGGCAGAACCGCACAGAGCCAGCTAAACGTGGCTTATGCGTACAGCGGGGAGCGACTCTGTGGCAAAGCACGCAGCTCCATCTTACCAGTAGAGAGTGGAATGTTGCACCAGTGCGTAAGTGTCCCCATCTTCAATGATCACTTTGCAGCTCATACAAGCAAAGCACTCGGGGTGATACTTGTATTCGCCAGCCACCTACAGACAGAACAGGGAGTAGCTTAGTAGAGCCAAAATCCACCAGCAGATGCAGCTACTGCTTTCCTCTCTAATTAACATGTTCATTCAGATCTCCAAGTCAAGTGGCAGTTTTTTACTGGAGAGTTATACCGGCCCATTCTACCTTTCCTGTACCCCTATCCTTGGCACCTTGTTTGCAAAACTTCTCCGAGACAAGCATGTCAACATGCAAAGCAAAGCTTGTGTCCCGGGAACCTCTGCTGTATTTGGCAGCTGCTCAACTATCAAAAATAGTTGACAGTCTGCTGCAGACTAGTAAACAAGATATTAAACCTTCCTGCGCAGTTGCTCTTGGCAAGATAACTAACGTTATGCCTGAATTAATAAAGCTGAAAGGGCTTTTTTTTTTTTTTTGGCAGACCACCAATGCACAAATTCAGATACTTTACCAGCCAGTTGACAGAAACAAAAGCGAGCCGAGACCGAGACAACAAAATACCTTGAAAGAATATTTTTATTCATTGATCTGTTCTATTTTCCTTATGAGAATTTCCCTTACTGACAGTATTTTGCAAAGACTTTTGCAGGCAATGAGTACTTTTCTCAGTACTTCCCTTTGAGGTAGCAATCACATTGCTGAGTATCATGCTGCTTTTATTTAGGCCTTAGAAAAATAATGGTTATGTTTCATTCTTGACAGTTTTAAAGGTTAAATATTTGCAAGGTGGTGGCAAGGAGGGGAACACTTAGGTGAGCCCCATATTGTGCAGGCAGAGTTCAATGTTTCAAAGCAATTGGGGTTAACGCTACTTCAAGACACCATCAGCCAGCAAACCACTCTGGCCACAGTCCAGGTGGGATGTGGATGGCAACCCTTCCTGAAGCCAGAACCTGCTGCTTATCCTGAGCTGAGAGGTTTGACTCTGCAGTGCAGTGGAAAATCACCCCATGCAGACACTGAGGCACTGTGCTACGGAAACTGAACAGATGTCCCCTTAATCACTTTTCTGTTTCTCAGGCCTGTGCATTTCAGCACTTTACTTTCTTCATTCATATGCTTCAGATCCTCACAACCCCCTCCTTTAAGAGTTGCCCCCGTTCAAAATTAATCTATATCTAGAAGATGCACACACAAGCTTGATTTCTAATCTCTGACTAGAGATTAGAATAGCAAAGAAACTATTACCTTCAGTTTATTTGGTTAACTGAATAGCTAGGGCATCTCTCAGCCAAGTTCCAGGAGCTGGAGACAGGCATGTCCTGCCTCCAGGCAGGAGCCCTTTAGAGTCCTTACCATCACAGGTCCAGTCATCAGCAGAGAGCAGCCATGGCAGGATTCCCCAAACTTCCCCCAGTAGTCTTTGTGACAGTACAGCTTCCCATCTTTCTCATAGTACCAGTTAGTGAGGGGATCCTGACATTCAGAGCACCTTGAAGGAAACAAAAAACAAGGTTCCAGTTGGCAACAAGTCACAAAGCAATGGAAAAGCTCCTCTCCTGCATGGAGAAAACAGATGTTCAGCAGCAGCTCACCACCAGCTCTTCTAGCTATGGATGTACTACACTTCTCCATTTCCCAATGCTTTTTCAACTGAAAAGTAGCATCAAAACCAAGGTTTGTAAGGAGAGGTGCTATCAGCCAATACAAAGGAAAAGACAAGCTTCCAAAGTTTAAAACAAATCCCATCCATTTATTAAAACACATCAGTAGGTTTATAAATTCTGCCTTATAAATTTTGCTCCTCTTCTTTCTCCCTCTCCCTGGATGCAAGCTTCCAGCTGCAGAGGTGCCCAGCACACACACAAGCTCTGCTACGTTTCTACTCAGTGTTTCTATAGCATCACACCAGCTTGTACCAGAGCACCTGTCTCCTCAGCCAGTTTAGGCAGGGAGACAGAGAGGCAGGATCCACTTCCCTATGTATGCAAAGCCAGTTTTGCACCAGCCTTTGTGGAAAGCCTTTCTATTCCTCTGTAAGTAGACTCTCCCAGAAGGCCAACTGCAGCACTGTCCATTTGAGGGAGAGTTTTCAAAGCAGTTCATCCTTTGAGCTCCACATACCTACTGCATCCAACAATTAACTGTGATGGAAGTCCTCCACCTCTCCCCACCAATTGCTCTCCCTTTCCTTCTGCTGACAACGCTTGAGAAAAAAAACAACACACCCACGACCAACCAACTGAAAAAAAAAAATCTAAACAAAACTGTTTCTCTAATTTCATGAAGAGTCTCAAAATCCTTCATATATCAGTGTCAGCTCCCATTTCAACAGGCAACCATTATTAATCCTCTATCTACAAGCCTCTCCAAAGAAACAAAAAACTTGCTCCCCCCAAAAAAAAAAACAAGAAAAAGATGCAGCAATTCTATTGCAGATATCATTTTAGCAAATCACAAGCAGAATGCAGATCTTAAAGCTTCCTGAAGACAAAATAATCCTGCCTCAGCAGGATGCACTGGGCAAGGGAGTTTAACTTCTGCAGCGTGGAGGTGTGACTTAATGGAGAGATAAGACACAGACAGCAGTTACATCACTAAAAATTATTCCATTAGCTCTGGGCAGCAAGTTCTCAGACTTTAAAAGGAAAATTAGTCTGGTGTTGGCCATTCTGAGCACAGAATCCAAGGTGGGTTAGTCACCAATAACTGGTTCAAAGGAGCACCTCAGGAATCAATGCTGTCATCAGTACGATGTTTCCCCAAAGGTGGAAGGAAGAGTTTTCTGCCCCTTACCCCAACAATTGTCTCAGTTACTGCACTGGAGGAGAACCCACTGCACCGGGGTGGGGGTTTAGGTGGGCGTCTGCCCTCCTGGACACCTCTCTACAGCACCAAATGCACTGAAGTCAGCCAGTGGCTCTTTTTACACCATCCCAAGGCCTGAGATGAGAGCTACTGTTGACTTCACCTTTCATAAGCTTCTTGAAAGCTTATTTGTGCCAACGACATTCCTTGTAAACTCCACCAGCTTGTAATAAGTACGACTGTACGTGAAGCTGGTCGTGCTCCAACACGGAGAATGTTATTTGCTCCATCTCAAGAGACTGCAAAGCAACAAGGTGAAGCTGCTTGTAAGCAGCCTATGGTTTTAGGGGAAAACACACCTCATGAGGTATTTAGTGCCATACCCTACCCTCAGGAAAGTTGCTCCTTCTAATGTATTTGGCTTTTATAGTGTTTGTTCTCCCAGCTGAGAAGCTCCAAATCCTGCCCCCTCCCCTTCTTCACTGATGGGAAAGAACTCCAGCACGTGCAACAGGCCCTGCCAATTTGATCCGAGGCAGGGGGAGCAGGAACTTAACATCGCTATACGTGGTCCATGCATCATTACAGCCTCAGCCTTGGGGCACTGTCATGGTTACACCCTGCTCATGGTATGCAAGAGACCTAGAGGGCACTGCAATGCATTTTGCCTTCAACCACTAGCCTTTGGCTTTCATTTGCAGTAAATACCCCACGCTGAGCAATCAACCAGGTGAGTGGGAGGGAGAAAAGAGCAAGTGGAGACTAACAGCAAAGATTTCTATCACTTTGTGGCAGGAACATCTGGCTCAGCATGGGCAAATCGGATCCCTCAGACTTATGACTTCTGCGTGCATGCCTGTACCAGTGCATGCTCCAAGAGTGATTACATCTTCAAACAGGGAGCTGTGACCAGACCTGCACTTGGGATACAGACAAGCAGTACTGGAGACTGCTCCACCAGGACTTCAAGACTTGGCTTTCTTTTTAAGTTCTCCCCAAGCAGGTAGGTTATTTATTTATTTGTCTTTAAGCACAACACCTTCCCTTCCTCACCTCCCTTCAATTTCACCTTCAGCCACTCCTTTTTCTAAACTTTCTGGAAAAGCAACACAACTGCAATCCTGTTTAGATAGGCTCCAGGGGATCATGTACACTTGTTTTCTCTTTACTTTTCCCCTACTTCTTCATGGTTTGATTCCTACCTTACGACGCTTTTGATCAGTTTGCTTCCATCCGGAAATAAGCACTGGTATCTGATTTGCAACACACCCATAGCAAAATGAAGGTGAGGGGGTGGAGCCAGCAAGCAGTCAGTTCTTTGCTATGCAATTAAACAAATCTGGGCAGGACAAGTTTGCAGCTTAAGTCTCAGAACCCCACCCAGGGCAATGAGGCAACAGGAACAAAGCAACCAGCCCCAGAGAGGCTAGATGCTGGCAATGGGTCTGACTGGCTGCTTCGTTAATCACTGCCAGCAAGAGGCCATGGCTACAGCCCGTATTGCCAAGCAGCACCTTCTGTTCCTCACCAGGCATTCTGTAACGTGGAAAAGGCTTTACGTTTGTCAGGTGTGCAGAACTGACTGACAGCACACACGTATAGTTTTAAGCGTTTCAGCTGTTCCAGTGCCTTTGCCCAAATGATAAAGGCATCACATGATTGTTCCGTATGACTCTCATTGATGAGCTATTTCAGAATTTTGTCACAGAAGATACAGGACACCACTCCTTCTCTTCCCACCTCGCTGGCGTGCGTGGCATTGCCGCACTGCCATTGCCAGGGAGCACATCAGCTGCGATGGGAATACAGTTACTTCTAGAGGTATTAAGCAAGCTGACCTTTGCCAGTCACCACAACCAACGGAAAGGAAGGCTTCTTGCTCCTCCGTCTTTTATAGATTAGAAACTGCTAATCTTCTCCTAGATGACCAGCTATTCTTATTACAGAGTAACAAAGCATGGTAATCAAGTTTCTTGGGGGACTGGTAACAGCCATACGTGACGTGTTTCCTCTTGCTGCCCAGCCACCATTTTCGGAGCTGCAGAGCCCTGCTCTGATTATATAGTCCCATACGTTACGATTCTTCAATTCTCAGCCTTGGTTATAAATAATAAATTATTCTTCCTCCCATAGCCATCCTCCAGGAAACTCAGGCAGCAGCTGGGTGCAGCCCTGATACTGTGTGGCAGAGCAGGTGCAGAAAGAGTTCACAAATCGCTGCTTGATGGCTACTTGGTTTTGTGGGGAGTGGTAGGAGGATCAGGTCACAACAGGTAACCAGCCTGGTTTTCAGCGAGATGGAGATTCAATTGGTGTGGCATCTCTTTTACATCTAAATGAAAGCCAATACCCTCATGGAAGCAGAGACTTCCCTGGCACTGAGGAGACAGATCCCTTTGAGAAGGGCTCATTAATAAAATCCACCCCCCACACACACTGTCAGGCTAGATCAGTTAACGCTAGACAGGCTCGAAAGAGCTGTGGTTCCAATTCTGCAGGCAGAGCAGGGGAGAGGACAGTCACGCAGACAGAAAGCTGCAGAATAAAACATAACCCCAGCCCACAGCAAACCCAAAGGCTTCTGACTTAGCAGAAGTGTGTGCACTGGCTACATAAGAGACACTAGGCGAGGAAGAACAGATGCTAGAAAACAGACTACGTACCAGAAGACAGAGTGCTTAAGCTCTGACTATGCAAAAATCATTACCACACACTTAGGAGAAGGTGTACCTACGGCTTAGCATGATGCCCTACACGTTACAAATAACAAACGCCTTCTCCAAGGTGTATCTGTGGCTTAGCACGATGCCCTAAACATATTACAAACAACAAACGCCTGCTCACTTTCCTTCTTCTGAAAGCGGATGCTGTTTCAGAACGTTGCCTGAAGAAGCTTAGCAATTGCGCAGCAGTTCTCACTCCTATCCTAGATTGTTTTAACAAAAGGCTCCTGACTTCCAAACCAGCACAGCAGTGTGTTTGCAGGAACAGGATCAATAATGAGCAAATCTGAGTGGAGGAGAATAGGAGGGAGACAATGAAACTGCAAGCCTTGCCTTTCCCCATCTATTCCCCGTATCAGCACATCAGCGTCAGTCTCCATCCTGGCTGTGTTCAGCCCCACTAAAGTTTTCACTATGGAGATGCCGTGCAATCAAAGCCTTAGTCTGTAGC